CAAGGGGCAGGCTGCAGCTCAGTGCTGTGTGTTTGTCTGGCAAGGGGCAGGCTGCAGCTCAGTGCTGTGTGTTTGTCTGGCAAGGGGCAGGTTGCAGCTCAGTGCTGTGTGTTTGTCTGGCAAGGGGCAGGCTGCAGCTCAGTGTTGTGTGTGTGTCTGGCAAGGGGCAGGTTGCAGCTCAGTGTGTGTGTGTCTGGCAAGGGGCAGGCTGCAGCTCAGTGTTGTGTGTGTGTCTGGCAAGAGGCAGGCTGCAGCTCAGTGTTGTGTGTGTGTCTGGCAAGGGGCAGGCTGCAGCTCAGTGTTATGTGTTTTTCTGGCTAAGAAGACCATCTCGGCACCACAGTAAACAAGGCCCGGCACACTGAGACAGGTCTGCAAAGTTCTGGGTGAATCGCAGGCTCCTCAGAAGCAAGTCAACACCCCCAGGGCTGCGGGGTGCAGCAGGGCCTGAGCGCCGGCTGAGGCCAGCCACGCTCACAGAACAGGGCAGCTGTGAGGCGGTGAGGCAGCCAGAGGACCTGGCAACTCCACTCAAGAACTGAACAGACAGACACAGAAGCCACACGGTGGAGCAGCCGAGGCCGCAGGGGACTGACAGGCACAGTGCTCCCCCTGCTGGAGCACCACACAGCCAGGAACAGGACGGGGTTGGCACGTGCCTGTGGCTGCCACCGCACTCAGGCCCCGGCAATGTGTGGCTCTGCGGAAAGGAAACGTCCAGAACAGGCGGATCCACACAGAGAGGAGGTGGACTGGGGGCCAGAGGCAGGGAATGGGCAGGCTTCCCTTGAGGGTGATAGAGTGTTCTGGAAATATGTTCACAGTGATGGCTGAATAATTCTGCAAATAAAGACCACCGGGGTGGTCTTTAACGGATGACCTGTGAAAATCTGGGGGCTCCGTGGGCTCACTGCCCGCTCCTGAGAGGCGCAGGCAGGCATCCTCGTTTGGCCTCAGCGGCCATCCCGAAGGAGGGTGCTAAAAGCTATTTGGAACGGAAGTTATAGGGCTCAGCTGGGCAGTGTCCAGACCACCAGGGCAATCTGGCCTTCCCAGACTCTAGTCCATGCCTGTCCTCCATGCCATAGGACTACACTTAGACCTAAGCAGGGGCCCAGCGCTGGCCAGTCCCCGCCCCAGCCCCGCCCCCCACCCAGCCTCACCCTCGCCCCGCCCAGTCCTCTCCAGCAAGACACACCTTGTTCTGCTCATACTTGTAGAGGATCTTCAGTGTCTCCATGGCACGGATCATGGCCTGCATGGCGGTGAAGATGTTCTGGTAGACCAGCTTGGTGAAGCCCCGCTTGTCCTCCTCGGAGTAGCCCGCCCCGTGGATGATGCGCATCTGCTTGATGAACGTGCTCTTCCCGCTCTCGCCTGTGCCTGTGGTTGGGGGGGGGGCCAGAAGGAGAGGGGAAGGGTCAGCCACAGGGCCCAGGACTGGTGTCACGGCTGCCATGACCCGCCAGCCTGCCCCAGGGCTGTGTGGGCAGGTGCGGTGTGCCTGCTCACCACACCGGGCGACCTAGCAAGCTGGTTTACTGTCCCTTCCGGACCACTGGGGAAAAACCACAACGCGTTTTCACCCACGCCACACCCCAGGTGCCGCCTCTGTGGCCTCCACGGCTGCTGGGGCCCAGAGTTTGATTTCTGTGTCAAAAGGCCGTGCAGTTTAACGGGCAGCGCGGGACGCTCGCACGGCACCAGGCAATGGCGTCGCGGGCATCTTCCTTGACACAGCCATGATGCCCGCTCCACGGGGCGGGGCCTCTGCTGCTGTCACCCGCAGGCTCAGCCGCCCTCCGGCGCGTGGCTGTCCATTGTGGCCACATCCACATCCTGGCTGCGCCCCTCTGTGGGCATGAGGCCCAACCCTACAGCCACCAGGGGGAGGTGGCTACCTGCCAAGGATGAACACGGAGCCTCCTGCTGCCCTGCCTGGGCAAAGGGTCCCCCTGCTGCACAACCAGGACTGGACCACCGAACCCAGCCTCAGGATGAACCCCATGGCAGCTGCCACATGGGGCCTCACACCAGCGCCCCACAGCTTGCCCCCTGTCCCCTGCCCTCACGCTGGCTGGGGGGAAGCACCCACACATCTCTGCTTGGGCTGGAGCCCAGGGAACCCTGGAATAACCTGCTGAGGCGTCCCCTCCATGAGCAGGCCAGGGCGCCCCACCCCCCCGCAGCCACACCTCCCAGACACCACCCGGGGTCCTTGGGAACAGAGGAAACAAACTCTTACAAAAAGGCACCCCGCCATGTGGATGCGGTGGTGAAGAGCAGGCGGGAGAGGACACTGCGCCAGCGCCCAGCCCAGGGCCGGCCTTGTTGGGAGGGGGAGGCCAGGCGAAGCCCAAGGTCCCCTGGCCACAAGAGCTGCAAGTACAAAGCAGAAAGGCGGGGTGCTCGGCCGGGCACGGGGAGCGAATGCACGGTGCATGTGGCTGCCACGCACACTCTTCCCTAAGGAGCTAACAGCGGCCGGCCTGCGGGGCCTGGGGAACCGTGGGGCAAGGGCAAGCACCCCGACAAGTGCACGCGCACACACACCCACTTACAGACAGGTGCACACACACCGGCACACATTGGACAGCTGAAAGGCAGAATTGGGGACCCCAAGCCTTCAGGGGGCCAACAGTGCTGGCTGACAGGCAGGGAAACTGGGGGTGCCCAACAGCACGGAACAGTCTAGGGACGCTGTGTCTGCTCCTCTGGGACCTCTTCACAGCCTTTGTCCCTTCTGAAGTTGACAGAACTTAAAGCAGCAAATGGACAGTGCCCACCAGGCCCACGCCCAGGTGGAAAGGGACTTTTCGGTGCCCGAGGCGAGAGGAGCAACCTGTGCCAAGCCCCACGACTGCCGCCCCATGAGCTCCCTGGCCAGGGCTGGCCCAGTGCCCCACCCCCAGCTCACCTGTCCATGCTGACAGCCGCCGTGACAGCCACCAGCAGCCCCCACCGGAAGCCAGGGGAGTGCTCCTGGGGACAGCGTGGCCCACTGCCCCATTCCCCTGGGACCAGGCCACACAGGGCGCCAGCAGAGGTGGTCACCCCTCCACAGATGAGTGGCCTTCCAGGGGAGCAGCCCTGACTGAGCACCAAGGCCAGGAGAGAAGCCACGGCCACTGGTCACCCAGCCAGGCGCTCATCCACCACAAGACAGCTAGGGCCAGGACCCAGGGCACAGCTCAGGTGGCACTGGCAAGACCGCCTCTCAGGCTCCCTGTGACATGGTGGGGACTACTGCGACCTATCACCCAGCACCCCAGTCCTGGCCAAGTCAGCACCCGCCACGGAGGACACGACACCCACGGTCACAAGCACTACCGCGGCCCTCAGCTTCAGGCCCCACAGCTTCAAGAAGTAAAAGTAGAGCCAGCCTGGTGGCACTCCCACAGGGGAAGGGCTGCTGGTGACAAACACGACAGCCCCAGATGGAGTGCAAGGAAAGCCCCAGCCCCTGCGCCAGGCCGTGCAGGGGTGGGGTATGGATGGAGAGGCCTGAGGGGCTGCAGACACCATGGGGCGCAGGAGGCCAGGGCTGGGGTCAGTGCGGATGCCACCTCCCCTGGTTCTCAGCAGAGGAGGAAGGCGGGAGGCGGGCCAGGGAAGCAGGAACACGGAGGATGCCTGCGGCCACCACTCTCCCAGGCTGAGACTCCTCTTCCCGTGCCCTGTGGCCCCCACCTGGGAGTGTGGGGCACGGTGGGCGGACACGGCAGCCCACAGCCCTGTCCTCTACACTCCCCAGCGCTGAGTAAACCTTCGCCCTCCCACAGCCACACTGCTCCCCGCCCCCAGGATGCTCCCGGGATGGAGGGGTCCACTCAGACCCCAGCCCCTGCATGGACAGGGCTGCAAACATCTCTGGGACCAGCCAGCACGACAAGCCAGAACAGCTGCTTCCTTCCCCCCGGGGCCACCACCATGCCAGCCACCCCACCTGCAGGGCAGAGACAGCCTACAGGTCAGTTGGCACACTCAGTCACTACGACCACCAAGGGCGGCCAGAGTCTATGCTGCCACTAATATACAAAGGAAGAAATGAGGAGCCAGGCTGCCTGACAAAGCCACACCCAGCCGATATGTGGGAGGGAGGATAGATGGGTGGTGGGTGGGTGGATGGATAGATGAGATGAATGGATGGATGGATGAATGGGTAGGTGGATGAACAGATGGATGGATGGGTGGGTAGATGTGTGTGTGTGTATATATATATATATATGGATGGATAAATGACTGGATGGGCAGATGAATAGATAGATGGATAAGTAGATAGATGGGTAGATGAACAAATGGGTGGATGGGTGGATATATGGATAGATGGGTGGGTAGATGGATGGATGGATGGGCAGGTGGATGGGTTGGTGGAATGATGAATGAATGACAAATTGATGGACAGATGAATGGATGGATGGGTAGGTGGATGAACAGATAGGTGGGTGGACAGGTGGATAGATGCATGGATGTATGAATGGATGGATAGGCAGGTAGATGGGTGGGTGGATAGAGGAATGAATGGGTGGATAGATTGATAGACAGATGAATGGATGGGTGGATGGATGGATAGGTAGGTAGGTGGATGAACAGGTGGGTGGATGGGTGGGTAGATAAATGTATGTGTGTATGGATGGATGGATGGGTAAATGGATGGATGGACAGGTGGACAGGCAGGTAGGTAGATGTATGTATGTATGTACGAATGGACGTTTAGATGAGTGGACACAATGCTGGCCCACACAGGGGCCATATCTGGGAGTAGAACATGGATGTTGTGTCACAGTGGGGGTCGGCAGCCATGTCCTAGCTGCAAGGTCCCAGCCTGACCACCAGTGGTTGTGGCTGTCAGGACAGGTGTGCCATCTCTGGTCAGGGTCAGGTGAGGCGCCCTGATGCCATGGGCCCCATGGGAGACCCTCCTGTGGCTGAAGACACTGGTCAAATGGGCACAGCCACAGTCCAGCTCGTGTTGTTTCCACCCCAACTCCACTTCATCTCCAGAACCCTGAGAGGTGCTACCCCTGAGAGTTCTGTTTGAGAGTTGGGGAAACTGAGACAGAGAGGGAAAGCAGCCCTCTTGAGATTCACAGAGTGCTAAGTGCTGACCTGAACACAAGAGAGTGTGCTAGGCCGTCAATCTCCTTGTCCCTTCACACCCTCCTGGGAAGCGAGAAGCCAGGTGGCACCAGCTGCTGCCCTCAGGAGCACCTTGTGGCCTGTAGGCCACAGACGTGATCATCACAGGTGGGTAACAGATGGCCTCTGGACTCAAGGCACAATCTTATCTCCATGGGGTGACAGAGTCTGCCAGGAGCCGGTGTTGGGCTGCCACCCTTCCCAGGTATCTCAGGGTAGGGATGCTGATGGCCACAGGTCAGATTCCAGTGGGGCTGGGCAGACCAACCCCAGGGGGCGTGGCCAGCCCATCAGACACCCACCCCTCACCCTTCCGGACCCCACCCTAGCCTTCTCCCTCTACGAAGCCCCCAAGCCAGGCAAGCCTGGTGGGAGCACCACCCAGCCAGGGCCAGGTGGGCTTGGCATCCCCGCCTGCTGCTGAATGAGCTCCTGAAACCATCAACCTAGAGGAGATGGGCTGTGGAGAGTCCAGTCTCACAGGCCTCTCTGGTGAGGACAGCTCGCCACAGCAAGAGCAGAGGATGCAAACCTGTTTCCTCAAGGCTGGGACACAAAAGACGCTGGAAGCTGGGCAGGGTACTTCATGCCTACAAACTCAACTACTCAGGCAGAGATCAGGAAAACTGGTTCTACACCAGCCTGGGCAAAAAGTCCAGGAGACCCCATCTCTACCAATAAAAAGCTGGGCATAGATAGTGTAGAAGGAAGACAAGGCCCACGCCAAACAGGGTGTAAATAAGTGCAAGACCCTAGGCTGAAAAACTGAGCAAGAAGGCCTGGAGGCGTGGCTCACTGTCAGAGCCACTGCCTAGCAAGAAAGAGGCGCTGAGGTCAAACAGCACCAGGAGAAAGGACATGCCCTGATGACCCGACCTCCCTTCAGGCCTCCTGGCTTAAAGGTTCTAGCCTTCCCCACAGTGCCAAGCTGAGGACCACGTCTCCAGCATGAGCGTCTTTGGGGCCACACCTCACCTAAGACACAGACACCCGAGGATGAGGACAGAGCCCTGCCTGCCCAGATGCCACCACGGAGGCTCGCCAGAGATGGGGGAAGTAGAGCAGGAAGACGCCCGCTCCCCACCGGGCCTCCACCGGGTCCCACCTGGTCAGCCCGCCCTCCCTCCATGGCCAGGGGGCATGGCGCACAGGACAGAGCTCGTCCTGCAGCCAGCTCCTCCCCGCGCGGGCCTGCACCCTCGCCAGGCCAGCCATGCCACCGGCGTGGGGACCCCAAGAGGGCTGGTGGTCATGGGATGGGGACCTGCGTCTCATCTCCAGACCACGCGCTCCCGTCCTGCCACCCTGGCCCGGCAGTGACGGCAGGAAGTACCTGGGCAGAGCCCGCTGCACGCAGGACGCCAGGCTCAGCAGCGACACGAGTCTCTCTGCGGGGGGCACCTGTGCCCCCGTGCTGTGCAAGCCTGCAGTGGGGACACAGGCTCTCCCTCTGCCGTGCCCGCTGCAGGCCGGGCATCCGTCAGACGGGGACACAGGAGCTTGCAGGCTGCAGGACACAGGGGACCGCCCCGGACCCCGCCGGCCTGTGAGCAGTCACGGCCTGCGGGGCTCACGCAGCTGCGTGTCCCATGTGACCACGCTGTCAGCAGCGGCGGCGGGGACCTGTGTGGCTGTCACCAGCAGGGCTCTCCTCACAAGGAATTGGGGGGAGGGGGGAGGCAGCAACCACGGTGCCAAGGAGAGAAGCCCTTCGCAAGCGCTCTGTGAAATACCCTTCGCAGCACCGGGGGTGCAGGAAGGCCACAGTGAGTGACCCCCAACAACAGCATTGCCAGGGTGCTCCCTGTACTCTCAACCGCGCCTGGGCCTGGGGAAACTGAGGCACCTGCAAGCACACAGCTGGCTGTGGCAGTGCGGGTCCCCCCCTGGCGGGGAGGCTGGGCATTGGGGGTTGTGAGGAGGCCAGGGTGGGGTCTGGGCAGGGGACGCAGCCTGGCCTAGGTGACAGGTTCAACGGCTCTAGTCACCCCAGGGCAGGAGTGGTGGCTGCCAGGAGGGCAGGGGTCAAGGGGGGGGAGCTGGGAGGAAGGACCCACCAGTCACTGCTCAGAGCTCAGTCAGCGCCCACCCTCACAGCGCCCTGCTCTAGGACACCCTGGCACCTCACTGTCCCCATTCACAGGAACATGAGTGCCCCTCTGGGGACTCGGGGGGGCCAACTGCCACCCTGCTGTCTCCCCTGGGGCCACCTGCCGGCACCGGCACCGGCCGCATCCCAGGGCCGCATCCCAGGGCCGGCAGGGCTTCCGTCCCGCCAGCCGGCCCCACCTCTCAACTCCGCATGTGACGGCCGCTGGCGGGAGGCGGGCCCTTCCTCCCTTGGCAGCCAGCTGGGGCACGGGGCAGCCGGCGGGCCACGGGAATGGCCACAGGGGCGCTCTGGGTGACCTGTGGGCACACAGCTCAGGTGCTGCCTGCGCCCCGAGCCCTTCACCATGCAAGCTGACTTTTCCCAGGGGATGCCTACAGGGGCTGGGTCCCTCAGGGACAGGCAGGGAAACTGAGGGCACAACGGATGTTAAAAGCTCCGGCCTGGAGCTCACAGGTCCCTGGGCGGCCTCCAGGACCACGCCCTGACGGGGGGTTAGTGATTTAGCATACATGGGGCACAGCTCAGAGATCCCTATGGGGTCTCCCTCTGTGGAGACGGGGGGGGGGGGTATGGGGAGGGGGTTCGGGACCGCGGAGACCCTGGCAGGCAGGAGGTGGCCACTGCCCGCCTCCTTCCCGGTAGGGCACGGGAGGCACACCCAGCCCTCCAGCCGCCCCCGGGGCAGATCCGGCTCGGGCTGCCCAGCCAGCAGCACAGGGGACAGGAAGCCTCGCGGACTGACCACCCTGCTTTATTTAGAAAGCCGCCAGCAGCCGGCTCAGCCCTGCGTGCGCGCCAGGCCTCGGGAACAGGCATTCCCAGCAAGGCCTCGCCTTTCTCCAGCCAGAAACCTGGGCACCGATCGCAACAGTCTCCTAGGTGGCCAGGCTATCGAGTGACAGGAAGCCTCTCCCCCCCCACCCCACCCCTGCCCCGGGCGCCTGCGGGACCCCAGCGACGGCAGTGGCGGGAGGGGAGGCTGGAAGGACACATCCACTAGCCACGCAGTCCACGTCCCTCCCAGCCCACGGCTGCTGATGGCTGCCACCGACAGGCACCGAGGAGACCAGCCTGGGACCAACGAGAGACCAACCCCGAAGACCCTGCAACAGCCCCACAGGGCGCCGCGCTGCGCCCGCCAACACTAGGCCGCCTCTGTGGGGAGTGGGGCTCCCCACATGGCATGGGAGCAGAGCAGAGACCCTACAAGGACCACTGTCTATGGGGCGTCACTGCAGAGCCCAGGACACCCCCAGAGAGAATGACCCCCCCCAGCAGCTAGGGAAACCGTGCCCAGGCAGGGCAGGGGACGAGGCCCTGTCCTAGCTGGTGGCAGACCCAGGGGTGAAGGCGGTCCCTGGGAGCCCAGGTGAGGCCCTGCCCCCCATGTCCACTCTGCCACCCAAATGGGAGCAGTGGCAGCAGAGGGGCGCTCCCACGCGAAGGGGAAGGGGGGGCTTGTTCCAGAGGAAAGGCAAACCCCACCCTAACCAAAGAGACCACACGGTCTGTCCTCAAAATACCAGAGCCTGGCTACACATTTGTGGGAGCAGTGGCTGTGGCCCCCAGGAGCCCTCAGCCCCCCCCCGATTTGCTTGCCACACAGGACAGTGCTTTCTCTAGCTGGCATCTAACATGGCACGATTCCCACAGGTGGGGATGGTACAGAGCCGGGACTCAGTGATGAGCCCCAGCCCCCCCCCGCGTCCTCCCCCCACATCAAGGCCCTGGACAAAGCCCTCAACGTGGGACAGAGGGTCCCATGTGGGGTTGTCCAAGGGGCCCGGCCAACACCAGCTCCTCTGTGAAGCCCTCCCAGCACCCAGCACACCCGGGGCCTCAGGCCTCCACCTCGGCATTTGCACCTGTCCTCCCTCTCCTACCCACCCGCCACGCACCGACACCACTCCCTGAAACTGGGAGGGACTACAGGCAGCAGCTGGGCCTCCACTCCGCACTGCCGGGCTGGGGACCGGCCCAGCCCCACTGCAAAACTTGAGTCAAGTCAACCTCAAGCCCAGGTGTAGGACAGGAGACCCAAAGATCACTCCAAACAGCTCTAGGCATCTGCACAATCCAGGTTACTGGGAACTGGGACTTGAACTCAGGGCCTCACACTCTACTTGGCTTTATTACTCAAGGCTGGCCCTCTACTATTTCAGCCACAGCACCTCTTTCGACTTTTGCTGGTTAACAGAAGATTAAGAGTTTCTCGGATTTATCTGCTGGGGCTGGCTGGACCTGCGAAGCTCAGATCTCAGCCTCCTGAGTAGAGGGAATTACAGGCACGTGCCACAGTGCTCAGCATTACCAGCATTTCCACACAGAGAGTCTCCTCCTCTGGGCAGAAGCCAGTCCATGCCAGCCACCAACTGTGGAGCCACCGTTCCAATCTGTCCACCCTCTCCTCCTGAGGGGACACCCAGAGCCCTTGGGAGAAATCACACCCACTTGGGGGAAAAAGTACCAGGAAAGCTTTGCCACCAAGGCCAGTGTCTGGGAGCCACAAATGCTGCCTTAGGACACTGACCAGCCCGTGAGCACGTCAAGGCCAGTTCCAGTGCCTGCTTCCATGTCTGCCTCAGCCCCCTCTGCCCCCAACGCCTCTATACCAAACCCCTCTTCACCCAACACCTTCTGCCCCAGCCTCTCCGCACCCACGTCCTCTGCCCCAGAACCTCAAGACTCAGCCCAAAGCCCTGGGTCTTCTGCTAGCATATTCAGTCACCAGTGTCTCTGACATCGGCCCTACCCTGGATGCTGTCAGCAGACCCTCTTATCTCAGTGCCTGTGTCCTGAACCCCACTGCCCCCAGCCGCCTTTCCGCAGGCCCCTCAACCCCTCCAAGACAGCCCCTGCCCTCCACCTGCCCCTGCTCTGCAGCTCCCGGAGGTCTGTGCAGACGCTGGGTGACAGGGACACAGCTTCTGTTTTGTAAACCCCTGCCAAGGGCCATTCCTCCCCGCTCTCATTTGGGCCCTTATTTGGGGTGACAACACTCTGCCATCTGGGCCTAGGTGGCCGGACTTGGGCACCAGGTGTGCCTGGGGCAGCGGGAGCCTACACGGGAGGGCCGGAGGCCCAACCAACCCCAGCCCGCCCAGCT